CAGGTGCAGAGTATTGATCAGATCGTTGGGATATCACAGCGGATGGAGGGTGATGCTACTCCACGTTGAGTGGAGATTACTCCACATACTCCAGATCATATTGTATCGTTTGGGATTCCAGCTGAGGTAACACAGTTTGGGGATCATTTGGATTTGGATGCAGATGATGAGTTGGTTTTGGATTCGAATGCAGCTGGTGGACATAGTTCAGAATTGGATATGGACGTTGGTTCACCTGAGGTGGAGGTGTTTGGTTTGTTTTATTTTGGGGCCATTGAGAGTGCTATCAGCCGCAGATTCATTGGTGATGTTGGTTAAGAGTTGAGGACTCTTCTATTAGATTGAGGGCCTTTGGAGGCCATTGGGTGAACTACGTGAAAGCTTGATTCCTTAGGCAAGAAGATACGTAAGTAGTCATTTATGATGCAGCCGGTTTGGTGAGTTGATACCGACGTTTGGAGAGTGATCACATTCTCATTTTGGTCTCGACTTGTTATGGATTGAGTCCGTTATCGTGGTTTTGTTCCACTTCATACTGTACGCAATAAGTGAGATATTTGTTTTGGTTGGTGTCGGCTCAGTTTTGGGAAAGCTTCGTCGAGGTGGAGAATTGAAGAGGAAACAACGAGGTTCAGAAAATTGGAGACGGAACAATTTGGAAGCTGCGCGATCGACCGCGGGTGACACGACGGTCGACCGCGGACGTGCACAAGGAACAGGAAAGTCTCTGGACTTTTGGCGGTCGACCGCGTCGACTGGCTCGACGGTCGACCGTGAGACCCTGTAAGTGTTTTTTGGGTTTTTTGGGTTCTATCTTTGGCCACGATCGACCGCGACTGACGCGACGGTCGACCGCAGGTCGGGTTTGGGCCTGAGTTTGGTTTCCTGTTCCGTTTGGGATTGGTGTTTGCTATAAATACAAACACAAGTTTTAGGATTTCTTTGGGGTTTGATTGGGAATTGTTTTGGGGATATTAGAGCACATAAAAGAGAGATCTTTCTGAGCTATTGGTTAGGGTTATTGTTTGAGAGATTGAGAGCTTTGTTGGTGAAATTAGTTGATTTGTTTGAGCGATCTGTAATCTCAGTTTGTACTCTCCTTCTCTATAGTGAAAAAATCATCCTCTTTCTTGCCCCGTGGACGTAGGCAACTTACCGAACCACGTTAAAATTGGTTGTTTGTGTTTTGTGCTGTTATTTTGATTTGCTTGGCATTTATCTCGACGTTTGTTTTGGTTCCTCGAAGCACATCAGTTTGGTTTTGACTTCCGCCGCGCACAACAGAGATTCCACAATTTGGATAGAAGAGAAATCAGTCCTACAGATCAGAACCACTTCAATCAAACGCCCTAATCCATCGTGAAACTTTACGTCCCCGCCGGATAACCATCATGGATTTTTAGACATTCATAAAACTACACATATACTTAGCGATAAGTTTTTTGCACCAAAACTCTAAATACTTCTTAATAGTTTTGTGAAATTTACTCTTCCTTTTTCTAGCAATACCGAAAGTAGATGCTAAGTATCCTACTCCAATCGACCCGGTACAAATGAATTTGCATTTGAGAATGGATACTCAACCCTCAAGTCAACAATGCATGGCGTATAATGAGATAAATGGCATATCTAAAAGCAAGCTGCCAACATGTTTTGAGAAATTTTCCTTACTATATAAAGTCGACGGTTATGTACCTCATTGATTCAAAGAAAAGAAAAACTTCCTTTGACTTGTACTGAAGATATGAAGGATTAGTTCTACAATTTGGACGGAAGAAAACTTCGGTAGGCTGGGGCCCAAAACAACTAGATGGGACCCAAAACAACTAATTAATGCAACACGTATGCTTTGCTTCTGAATAAAAATACTCGTGAGGGGGCTACCAAAGGGCCGCTACTCACATGGGGCACATGATGCACTCTGTCGGCTACTGCTACATATCGCCCATGGATTGGATAGCAACAACCCTTTGTTTATAAGCAAGATATTGACTATTTGTCCTTGGCCCATGACATTAATCATAAAAGGTGCAACACAAACTACTAAATTAACTTAATCTCATATCATTATAGACTTTGCTCATGCTTCGCTCCTTTGATTAAGGAAAGAGAATCATCCACCGCGGGGTGACTCAGACTATTGGGAGGTTCCAAAATGGTTCTCATGGTCTTGGGTTCAATTTCGAGTTGGAGGAAAAAGAATCCTATATATGTTCCTTATAATAAGAAGAAAGTGACACGTGTCCAACTATCAATCTTAGAGTTGATTGTATTGTTTTATGTAACGTTTGCACCGATATGATATTTTGTTTGCTCCGTTAGTTTCAATGCTTGAACTAATATTTTTTGGTTTACATTGATTTTACATGTTTATGGCACTAATTTAGAATTTACGATGAATTCTTTTCTTTCCTTTGATTAAGGCTTTGAAGAAAAACTTTGATGGGTCCTACTCATTTTTGTCTATACGTGGGCTCCTCCACTCCCCACATGCATTAAACTATCAAAACTCTGGAAGGGTAAGAGAGAGGAGCATATCTTGGTGACATGCCATGTGATGCCAACCAATTTCAAACCGTATGAATCCAACTATGCATGCACTATACATACATTATTAAATATCATACTCCAAATGGGAACACAAACCAAAAAGTTACCAAACCTCACTACACTTCAAAATAGGAGGTTAAACCCTAATCTCTTCTCTAATGAGAGATCCAATCCACTCTATAAATAAGGCTTATCTCCAGCACTCCAAGAGCCAAGAAAAGAATAGGAGATAAACAATGGCAGCCTTTCTCAAGCTCTTCTCTGCTCTCACTGTCCTCTCCATCATCCTAAACAAAGGTGAGCCTTCCTCCATATCTTCTCTCTATTTATGCTTGAACTACATAAAATCCCCTAAAGTTTTTCAGAATCCATACAAAATCCCCCCCTAAGATATCAAAAGCACAGTTTGACCCCCTCACTTTCAGTTTCTCTGAGATTAATTTCTATGTACAAATTATGGTTCTTAAATAGAGCCATATATTAACTCTCAAATACACCATGTATGGTTACTACACTAAAACGGGTTTTTGCAGATTGATCTCCTGTGCTATCGCCAAATTGAACTTAATACCCGTGTAGTTCTATTGTTGCAGATAGACTTAATACCCTTGTAGTTCTATTGTTGCAGATAGACCTCCGAGTGAATTTTTTTTTTTAGCCTTTTCAGGGGTCTATTTTCAACAATAGATTTTCACCCAAGAGGTCCATCAGCAACGATATAACTTTTTCAGGGGATATATATGCAACAATAGCACTACATACGATTATTATATTGAAAACTGATGATTACATGTATGACACAGGTTGGGCAGCACCGTGCAGCAAATCAGACATAACAGTTCAACAAGTGAAAACCGGAGGAATCATCGAAGGGAAACCAGAATACAAAGTGCTAGTGAGCAACAATGGCAAGTGCATTCAATCAAAGGTAATCATGAGATGTTATGGCTTAAGCAGCGTCGAAACAGTCGATCCAAGGGCAATCAGACCGCTGGATGAAGAGCGATGCATCGTTCATAGTGGAAGGCCTTTGGGTAGAGGAGCTAGTATAGCATTTAAGTATGCATGGATGACTCCTCAGGATTTCCCTGTGATAAGTTCTCAGATTCACAATTGAGGGGATTTTAGCGACATTTGTGTGTGTTTTTCATACAGGGTTTGTGTTTACTATTGGCCGGGTTTGGATAGTTAAGGAAATGTCCATATCCAGTGCCTCAATAGGATTGTTGTTGCTTTTGTGTTGAAATTGGAAAGAGAATTTCCACTGTAAGCGAGGAAAGCAGAAAGTCTGTTTCCTCCATTGTTGAGAATATACTATGTATCCTGTTACATATACTAGACTTGACCAAATGGCTCTATGTGCATGTTTAACTTTCTAGAGACTAATCATGCTACATCAGTGATGCATTGAGGAGTTACTTCAATAACATTTTGGGTTACTCCTTAAACAAGCATATTTGCAAAACACCCCCAAATCTCAGCATTTGGAAAACTACCACACCCCCAACTCTTTAACTTTGGATAAACAATTACCCCCAAATCAACAAATAATCAACTTTCATACACTAATTTTTAAATGCCATGTCAAAGTATCAACAACATAGTCAATTTTTTACTCATCATATTCAACAAAGTCAATAATTTGTTGATTTGGAGGTATTTTTCCAAAATGGATGATTTGGCGGTAGTTTTGCAGATAGTGAAATTTGTAGGATTGTCGTGCAACTATACACAATTTAAGGGGTATATATATTAAACAAACTCACATAATTTTTGAGAAAAGAGTACCCTGTCCAATGAAGATGAACTAGGAGTTTAATGAAATAAATTCATCATCCAAAAGAAAAGAGAGAGGAATCTCTAGGGTCTTCATTCTAGCAGAGGAGGAGACAAAACGGAGAAGAGACAAAACTGCTACATGTGGCTCATGGACTTGAGCTAAATAAAAAACTGCTCCAATCACTTCAAAATGATAGCATTTACTAGATTATATCCTCTAAGGCAGTATGTGAAGCCATCGGTTGAGGGGATTTTAGAGACATTATGTGTGCTTTTATATTGGGTTTGTGTACTATTGGCCGGGTTGGAGAAGGGACATAATTGCTATGGATGAACTATGGATTTGAGCTAAATAGAAGTAAACTGCTAGAATCTCTCCAATTATGAATGAATTTATTAGATTATATCCTCTATGGTAGTAAAGTGCAGCCATCATCTAGCACAAATAAGACCAAAAATGGGATGTTATTATTTATTCCAGTCGGTGGCTTTCATTATACATAAACAACAAAAACGTCTTATTCATAAAACAATATGATAACTATTATGCATAAACAACAAACAGAACATCTTATTTATAATGAATAATTAAACACTACAATAACATTGTTTGAAAATTAACAATTATTATGGATTAATTTTGAAGGGAAACTTATCAAGTGATGGAGGCATGGAGATGCCATGTTAGATTGTCTCTCTGAGAATATTTCCCAGTGCAACAGGTATACTACGGCCTACCCTCCAAGATTTAATAATCGATAGCCCTGGAAGCATGAACTCGCAATGTACAGGCCCTTGAATAGACCCGTTTGTTCTTCCTTTAGAAGTTTCAGAATGAGGAGACCGAGAATGAAGGAGTTTCTGTTGTTGATTTTCTGAATGAGGATTCAAATCATTTTCTTCCTCAAGACAGAGAGATATCCTTCCTCTGCTGCATTTAGTTTGTTTCTCTATTTTCTCCTCTCTACACATCAGTATTGTTCTTCAGCCTCCCCTGAAAAGTTACAGAAATAAGAAAACCAGCACGAAAGCAGAATGGCTTCAAGTCTAATAAAAGTTACAGAAATAAGAAACCCAGCACAAACAAAATATCGATGTCGAAAGATAGATACCCAAAACAGCCTCCAACTTGAGGAACAAAACCATAAAATTCAGTCGGAGAAGCTAAAAAAAATTCAGCCATTCTCGACATCAGTGCTTCATCATTTTTAATTAAGCATTGTAACAAAAAGCAATATAAAAACTGTCACCAAATGTAAACTCAAAATTGTTTGCTATATGGACCAAAACACAGCTGAAGTAAACGAAAGATTTCCGTTAAAAATGTATAACTGTATAAGAGATGATTTCACTACAATCAGAAGATAGACAAGCATAGATTGTGCTCTTCTTTTTTTACGTTGTTGCATAACTTTTCTACTACAATCTGATGCTTCCAGAGAGCACACCAAAAACATGAATATGAGCATTGCCATACAAGACGCCATAAGTGATGGATTCATTTTCTCACTCCTTTAGGTTTCTATTATCTTATGTAATTGAAGTGAATCATTCAGAGGTAGCGTTCTCATGATACAACTGATTTAAGTCAGGCTAGTATTACATATATTCATGTCAAATTTGACTCATGTGAGATTCTCTAAGTTTTAACCTACATATTGTAAGAATAGAGCACGTGTTAGTTCTTTCGAGCCTAACCCCATGCTTAAAACTCAAGTTCTGTCATGAATTGACAGATACTCTGTGAAATAGGCAAGGTTGACTCCAATTTAATACTTACCAATTGGACTATTACACCTGCTACTATCTTTTTGTGATATAATTGATGGCAATTAAATAGATTATATCATTACCTTCCAAAGGATCTTGTGTATCCGATCATGGTCCAAGTAAAACACACCGATTGCAGTAGAGAGCAAAAAAAACCATCTTCATGTGTCAAGAATTTAATGAAAGTACGGAGTCTGGTTTACCAATAGTCATTGCATGAACAAGTCCCATCTTTGAAATGATGGAACCTATTCCGATCTCTCACGATAATTTCCCTTTTGTAAACCTTAGACATGAATTTTGTAGCTTCATGGCAATCCATGCATACTCTGAGATTCTTTGACACCCTAATAGCAGCTCCAGGAGGAGCTTTCATGAGACCAAAAGCAATTGCTAACTTCTCACTGTGATGAGAAACCGAAACCTCTTTCTCTTCTTCCTCTGCATCTAATCTTGCTTCTGCAACATTTGGCACATAACCTGCTTCCTTAATTTGACTGACAATTTCTTCAATCTTTTCATATATCTTCTCAGAATAAGGATGTGCATTGTCTTCAGCAAAGAACTCATAGATCATGCCATCCAATTCCATCAAACTACATCCTGGGATTTTCTTAATCCCTTTCTCCTTTATTTGGTTTCTCACTCTCACTGCATCCTCCCACCTGCCGACAGATGCATAGATACTTGAGAGAAGTATATAGTCTCCACTATGCCTAGGCTCCAATAGTACAATCTGCTTCAATGATTCTTCACCAATCTCCAGATTCTTGTGAATTTTACAGGCAGACAACAACGTTCTCCATATTATTGCATTAGGCTTTATAGGCATTCTCTTAACAAAATCATATGCCTCTTCAATAAGGCCTGCTCGTCCAAGTATGTCAACCATACAGCCATAATGTTCGACCCTTGGATTAATTGCATAATCTCGACTCATGCTATCAAAATAATACCGTCCCTCTTTCACTAAACCTGTATGACTACAGGCAGAGAGAACAGCGACAAATGTGACATCGTTTGGTTCAACGTTAGCTTCCAACATAGAAGCAAAGAACGTGAGAGCCTCTCGTCCTTGTCCATTACTTGCCAACCCTTGAATCAACACAGTCCAAGTCCACGCATTCTTATGTGGCATTTTCCTAAAAGCATCTAGCGCATTCTCAATGCATCCACACTTTGCATAGAAATCCACCAATGCTGTTCCAAGATTGACAGTTAATTGCATCCGCTTTCTTCTCATATACGAATGTACCCACTTGCCAGTCTCAAGTGCTCCCAAAACTGCACAAGAAGAGAGAACGCTAACCATTGTCACTTCATTAGGATCAACATTCCCAGTTTGCATCTTATTAAAAAGCTCGAGCGCCTCTCTACACCTATTCCCTTGATTATACCCTGAAATCATCGCACTCCAAGCAACAACATCATGGCACGGCATTTCATCAAACAACTTCCTTGCTTTATCGACACATCCACATTTTGCATACATATCAACAAGCGAAGTCATCAAATTCTGACTAGGGTCACTCAAATTCTTCCTTATGTACTCGTCAATCCACTCTCCTAAATCCAACACCCCGAGCCTCCCACATGCTGTTAAAACGCTAATCAATGTAACCTCATCAAATTCTACTCCCAACTCTAACATTCTTCTAAATAAATTGATAACCTCCTCCCACTCCCCGGCCTTGAAATACCCAGCAAACATTGCATTCCATGTAACAACACTCCTTTTACTCACTCCATCGAAAACCCTGCGAGCAACTCTGACCTCTCCACAGCTTGCATACATGTGGATCAAGCTGTTGACAACAAAATCTTGCCTGGAAAATTTAGACTTGGAGAGATGAGCATGCACCATCCTACCAATTTCTAAAGAATTGAGCCGGGAACAGGCTTTAAGTATGCAAGAAAGGGTGTATTTATCAGGTAGGACAGAGTCTTCGAGCATTTTGATGAAGTAACCAATGGAGCTAAGAGGTGAGTTTGTGAGGTTGAAGGCGCGGATGAGAATGTTGTAGGCCTCAGTGTGGGGGGAGGAGGTGAGGGCAAAGAGCTTGAGGGCATAGGGGAGTTTATTGGGTAGGATGAGGGCCGAGGATTCAAGGAGATTCTCCAGTATAGAGGGTTTATGGATTGAGGAAGTCTTGATGAGGTGAGCATGGATTTGGCGGAGGTCATCAGGAGTCTTGCATTTATGGAGGAGGAGGGTGCGGGGGTTGGAGGGGAAGTGAGGAATGGGGGTTGGGGTTGGAGGGAGAGATTTGGCAGGAACAGTAGGGATAACAGCCATTTTTGAAGTTGAGTCTTTTTAGGGGTCTAGGTTTTCTTGGGGTGGGAAGTATTTCTATTATTTATAGATGGATTGGTTGCAGTTATTATCCAAACCTGCCAATCGGTAGAGATGATAGTAGGCTGGAGAGATCATACATCTGCAGGGTACCCCACTGTTGACATAAACTCGGTGTTGCCCCTGTAGCCTGTTCAAAGGAAGTCCCAATTAGCATCAACAATCAATGGTATTCTCAAGAACCCTCAAGAATGCAATATTGCAAACTAGAGTGATGAATAACAGATAATTCTATGAGCAGTTAGTTTCTTCGCGTCATGAAATTCACAGTATTGCATAGTGTAATTTGTTAAGAACTCAAAAGGAATGACCCTGACCTTGCACAGTTTTGTAGGACCACGCACTAACTACCGTTAACTGAATTTCCTACGGCTCCAACTTCCTGGACTCCCTAAAGGAGTTGAGTTGATGCTCAGATTGCATCCTATTTACGTATCAATATCTAGACATTTCACATTTTCTATAAAAAAATCATGTGGAACCTCTATGGGTATGGACAGGTTAAATGATCTGATTGACTTTTATGCCCACAAAACCACTTCTCAGGAAACATTTTAATGAAATAAGCAGTAAAAGTAACAGAGTAAATATAATACTTGACCGAGAAATGATATGTCACATGAAAGATTCTTAAATAATGAAAGTTCAAATAACCATTCCATAAGTTGAAATTGAAACTTGGACTTCTCAAGAGGGAGTATGAGTCCGTCAACCACGAAACACTTGTTGGAAGAGTGGTGGGAGGAGTAATATTATAAACTGAATGTACCACCAATCATCATGAAAGGAAAATATATTCCGTCATATACGAAGTATCTTTTCAAGGATCCCCTCAAAGCAGAAGTATAATAGTAAATTCTTTAGATTATTACTTAGAACTAGGATATGTTTACTCCATGTCATGCACAACCTCTAATGAGTCACGAATCACGATAATGAGGCGGGAGAGGGAGGGAAGTCAATCCCTAGACGTTTTACCCATTTTATATTCATGATTAACCTTTAACCATGATTACATGGAAGCCTTCAGGGAAAAGGTCTACAAGGATTCATAACAGATGGTCCCAGCCTAAAGCAATTCGTAAAAATTCTGAATTTCAGGAACCATTTATATTTGAAGCTTTAAAAATACAAAAAGCAAGCCCTTGGAGTAAAAAAAGTGATTGATCCATGTTTTGGGAAAGTAGACAGCCTCGATGGCTAACTCTACAGCCTCGAAGGCTAACTCCTACGACAACAAGGATACTTTGTTTTCTCCCATTATAAATGAAGTACGGTGAATAACAATTAAATATCAATTTGTGGTTTGCCATAATGAACTGCTGCAAGGTTTGAATTAGATGAGCGTAAACTTGAACTCAACTATGCACTTCAGGTTAGGCCTATCAGCATAAAAGTACAAATAGAGAAGCAGGCTTCGTTCTGTTTATAAATAGAGCACCATGACACTGAACCTATACCCTTTCACAAATTTTAGGGCATCCTTGGAGTAAATAATTACAGTTCATTACTTGAATTATAATCACAATGTAGACATTAGAATTTTTTTTTTTTAGTTACAAGATTTATATCGCCCATTCCAACTCCTTTGCCGTTTGCGCCCAGCTTCAATAACTATACATAGCATAAAACTATCAATAAAACTTTAAAATAAGTTACATTGATACCTTGTTGTGCATAAGCTAATTAGAGAAGGAACTATTTGAGGTCCAACCCTCCAATTAAAAAGAAAGTTCTTTTTATTTTATTTTTTACAGAAACTACACAAATAATTTCTGGAGACATACTGTGAAAAATACAATTACCGGAGAAACCAAATCAATTATCTAAAAGGGAATTTCTCTACAAACTCTGCAGCATAAAGAGCTTAATCTACCGAAACAATAAGAAAACAAATAAATTAGCACAAACTTGTAAATCCTATTCATAACTTAGAGCAATACTTCTATAATCAATACTTTTCTTCTCTCAAGCATATCATCAAACGAGTTGAGGGCACTAAACTAAACAGTGCAACTATTTTGAATAAAACAAACAATTCCAACTAATAATTGCAAAGCTCATGAAAATATTACCAAATTGAGCGATGAAGAAAAGGTCGAGAGCCACAAATCAAATGCTAACAGAAGATAGAAGAAGAAAAAACAGAAGAATGAGACTGGGAGCTGGCTGTGCCTTGGAGATTTTAGGCTTTAGATAGAGAGGAAGCGCGGATAAAAGAAGGGTAAAATTCATAAAACTCCCTGTAACTTGAGCGATATGTGGAACCTACGTCAACCTTGGGAAGTTATACAAAGTCAAGAGGGCTTTCCACAAATTAGCCCAAAGTCAGGGGTTGTATGAATTGAGTTAGTTTTTCCCGTAACAAACCCTTAATTTTGTCATTTGGGAGATAGAGATAGGGCGTCCACTGGAATTGAGTTTTTATGGGTAAATAACAATAAAACCTGAAGAACTTTCAGCATTTTGCAGTAAACCTCCGATAACTTTCAAAATTGTACTAAACCCCCAATAACTTTTGGAATTGCAGCAAAGCCCCAGTGAATTTTCACAAATTTTAGATAACCCTCACACAATAGAACAAAAAAAACAACATAAAAAGAGAATTTAGCAAAGAAAAGCTAGAGTTCGGGACCCCAACTTGATTGCGAGCAAGAGGGAATGAACGACAAAAGACAAGAGCATTTTGTTTTTAAGGTTGAAAATATAAAAAAGGCCATAAATGAGTTTTTAATAATTTAAAAGTATTTTGGTCTTTTTATGTCATGTGAGTTGCATGTGCCACGTTTAGGGGTGCATTTGGTCCGGGTATGGCTCGGATATGATACTTACGATATCCATATCACTTCCCATCTCGGATATGGATACAGCTCTATCTCGGTAAAAAAAAATCATATTCATATCCGCTAAAATTGGATACGAATATACATGTGAATATATGAGCGAATATGCATGCGGATTTGAAACGGATATGAGAATACTAGATAGTACTGAAAAAATATAGTTCATGTGATACAAAAGAGGTCATTAATGTGTTCGTTATATCTGAAAATTGAGTAGCATCTTGATCATTATAATCTAAGGATTAAAACTATCATAACATTATGATTGATAAGGATTCAGATATTTTAGATAATAATCTAGATATTTCACTACAAAACCATCCTATTGGTTATAGATTTGGATAACCATATCTGTAGCCTAACAGATACGGTTATTGGATATTTCCTATGATACAAATACGGTTTAGCACCCCTAGCCACATTAGATGTAACCATATTAATTTTGGGAGTTTTTTTGCCAAAGTTATTATGGTCTTAAAATGATTTTGAGAGATATTGGGGGTTTACTACAAAATGCAAAAAGTTATTGGGTGCAATTTACCTTTTTTCTTCTCAAAGACATTTGGATTATGGCATTAACAGTTAGGATGTCTTCGGAAAATTTGAAAGTTATGGGGGGCTACGTGAGGCACCCAATGTTCAGAGTATTTTTTATTTTTTATTTTTCGAAAATACCCAAAATAACTGCAAATACATTTGAGTTTGATTTGGTTGTATTATTAAGGAATAAATTCATGATTAAAATTTAACATCTTAGTTTATTGTAAGTATATGAAGGAGGAACTAATGTCAATTAATCTGATTTGAGAAACTTCAGCGCGTATACTATGGTTCTGAGAATGATAATCTTTTTAAAATTAAAGCATAGTTCAAGAGACATTAATAAACTAACAGTGATAATACCGGGATTCCAAAAGTATCAGGATGTACTAATATTCTAGTTCACATCCTTAAAATATCCTTTCCCATATCTTGAAGACTCTTCTCCTCCTCGGTCACCACCCTTCTCCTTACCTTGCCCCACCGCCTCCCACCAGCGTTATCTCCGTCGCCGCTGCCTCCTCGCCGCTTCTTGCTGGCGATGTCTCCTTTATGATCTCCCGCCCTCTCCACTCCGACAAACCAATAACAAGCTTGATCATTATGTATTTATGCGAAATTGGTCTATTTCATTCCTAATAATCGGGAGACAATAATTGTGCATTGATCCTAGAATATGATACACGTATATAGACAATATGGGCTTGAGAGGGCTAATGCTCTACCTGTACACACATAGATATATACAATATCTTAACATCCCTTCAAACTTAAGGTGGACCGAATACCGAAAGTTTGGACAAGAAGTAAAGCACCTGAGCAGTAGTTTGTGCTTTAGTGAACATTGTTGGGTCCTTTTGTTTTGATGATGATTAACAAACAATTTACAACTAATGTCGTTTGTCTAGTGTTTGTGTTTTGTATTTATTCTAGGCAAACAATATGTTGGAGGATGGATGGAATCGAGCATTCACGATCATATCCAATGGAGGTTGGCGGAATAGTGGAGTGAAGCAATACAATTCAAGTTAAAGATCCAAGATCAAGCTTCATCCGCAAGTTTACCAAGTCAAGCTATATTAAAGACCTTTAAACTTGGGTATATAGTTTATAGTGTTTGTAGTATATGTTCATACTTGTGTGTTAGTACTTTAAGCTCAACCATATACACACATACACGTTTTGATATATATATATATATATATATATATATACATATATGTTTTGGTTTTTAAGTCTATAAAATCATTTTACAAAAGTTTCAATATTGTATTTATGTCAAATGACAAAAACATGTATGTTTAGTTTTCATGTTTTTGGACATATTTGAAAAATGATGAGTTTTCACTATTGAGAAGTGAAATTCCAAAAATTCTTTTTGTAACATGTTCATTTACATGTTTACAATGATTTCCCAAAGTTTTATATTTTTTAGAATTTATTTGCTATTTTTAAAGGCAATTCAAAAATTAGTTTTTCTATTCAAATCAGGCTATTTGTAACATGTAACATTTTTTTGGTTTTGATTGTCATGAGAGGTTTGTGTTTGAGCAACCCCCACCCCCTCCCGATTTATTGAGTGTTTATTTCTCAAATCGTGTTTGTTGGGTGCTAAAATGTTTATATGGGTTGAAACAAGCTTAAGAGCTTGATGTATTTTCCTCTCTTGTCTTATATGGTTTACTTTTATGGATTTCATTTGATTTATGATTTTATTTGAGTGATTTGTTTTCATTTAAAAACTTTTTGCATGATTCTCATGTTCTTTTTCTTTTGATTTTATAAATCTACTTTTATACGTGGCTTTTATGTTTGTATAATGAGACATTATTTCATAATGATATATCAATATGTGTTCTCATTGTCTTTTTGTATGTGTGTTATACCTAGCATGTTTTTTTATATCTATGTTTTCTCACTGTAGGCATTCAAAAATGCCAAATTTTAAAATATGAGAAGGATGGTCAGGAAGATGAATATCGTATCAATCAGAGACGAGGCTCATCGTTTAGTGAAAATCAACCTCGAGAACGCAGGTCGTCGAGCAGTAAAACTCAACAACAAATAGTGAAGCTCGTCATTAGAAATGAGGTTCGACATTCATCTTCGAAAGATGAGGTTCGTCAGTGAAGATAAAGCTCATCGTCGGACTTGAAGCTCGTCAGCGAAGACGAGATTCGTCTAAGGGAAAGTCAACAGGTTTACTACATAGTTGGACCCAGCTATCGAAGACGAAGTTTGTTGGTGAAGATAAAATTCGTCAGACGAAGTCAGTGAAGACAAAATTCATCAGAAGAAGCCTATGTACTACAAAGTATACTTTGTAAGACGAACCTCGTCGCGTATCGAGTCTCGTCTTACATAATGAACCCCGTTTCAATTAAAGATGAGGTTCGTTGTCGATGAGAGATTTAGCTGTAATTTCTCCAAGACTCAGTCAGCCACGTGGGCTAATCTTCAGGAGCACGTTATGGCGTGCGCTGATTTGGAGGAGGCAGTTACGCCCCTCTACCCGTGATCTTAGCACGTCGGTTACGTGCTTAAATCCTATCCTATAAATAGCCATGGATGGCTACATGGATAAGTTGTTGGAGATTTTCGACTTGGACTTCAAGAAGCATCGAAGATCAGAGTTTTTGCGTACAGATCCGGAGTTCATACTTCGATTCTAGTCAGCTAACGAACGTCAGAAGCTTCAGCAATCTTGTTCTGATCGTCAACGAGAGGCAATCTCGACTCGAGCATCGGGGGAAGCATCCTTTTGCTACCAAGAACCCACGTTAAACAATAAGGAGCTGAATTAATCTTCTCTTCATCTATAATCGATAAAGAGCGTGAGTGATTGTAAGGTTTCATATCAAGTGATCGGACTCAGTTTTCTTAAAACAAGTGAATCAATCCAACTTTAATTTTTTTTACCGTACGGACGATAGTGACCATAATGGGAGCAGCTATTCTTTCCAATGAGATGGTGGTGGCGCAATCAGACAAGATCACTGTGGGAACAGACGTCGAGACTTTGGTCATTGAATTTGACCAGTCCAAATACGAGGAGTTCCTCTCCTCTAGTAAGTTTAGTCCCACGAAGGCACGTAAGTGTCGTCGAGTCTTGTATGAGACTTCAGCCCAAGTGGTTTCTGATAATTCAACTCAAGTTAACATCGAGGAAAAGTCTATGCCCCTCAAAGAGGAGGCTCCAATAACTAGCCGTCAGGCTAAAAAATAGGTTGTTAAACAACCTAGTCGAACTTCGGCTTCTACTAGCCAAACTATGGCTCTTGATAACGAACCTCGCCCAGCTTCGGGTGAGGCAAAAGCTCTAGTTGATCCACTGTCGAGACGCGCTTGACAACGTCAGCGCCAGAGCCAAGCTCGCCATAGGGCTCGAGCTTTGGTCTCGCTAGACGGTTTTCACTATCGACTGAGAGCTGATTAGCCCATGGTCAACAAGTCTAATGAGGGTCAAGTGATTGAGGAACGTCTAAATGATGGACATCATCCTCGTACCCGAGTAGGCTTAGAACACGAACCTCATCCTCAAAAAGAGGTTCAACAAATTCAACAAATGGTTCATACTGAGGCTCGTCAAGGAAACGAACCTCAAGTTAAGAACCTACCGAGAAGGTGAAGATGGAGATTAATTTGAAAGTTTGTTTTTCTTATTCCTCTTTTATTGCTTATTAGCTTAGATTTATTTTCATGCTTGTAATTAGATTTTATTTTCTTATTTAAATAGCCAAGAGGCTAGAACCCTCTTGCCTTAGATTTATTTCATACTCATAGATTAGATTTATTTCA